CAAACCTTATTGGATTTCTGACTCTGCTGAACTGGTCAAATGTTATTTTTCAGAAATTTAATTGTTAGACAGTCATAGAATATGTGGACATGTAGGGATGTATTTAAAGAAATTAAATTATTTAGGTTAGGCTACTGCTTTCTCATGAATACTTTAAAACATCCAATTCCTCTATCACACAAGCACAAAAATCTGTTATAGCACGAATACAAATTCTCTTTAAAAGACTGGTATACTAACTTGGCAGGAAGTAAACTAGAAGAATAATTATAGGTGTGTCCTTTTACTTCTCCTTTTCTTAGATCAAACCTCCACCGTGAAGTTTACTTCTTTTTAAAATCCTGTAAGCCAGCACATACGGATCCAATTACTTAATTGTCTGCAGAGTTGTAATGACAGTCACTTCTACTGATTTCAGCCAGTCTGCCAAATCTCTAGAAGCAAACTGAGGAATGGCTCCTCTAACTTGACCCTTTGTCCTTTTTGGAAGAAGCCAATCAGTAGCAGATGCAGTTGTGTGTGTGTGCGCGTGTGTGAAGGAAGAATGTTTATGGCAATCTAGTCATTTGAAAAGGAAAAGAATAAAGTGTGAAATAAAAGGGAAAAATGAGATGTAAGAAGAGAGAAAGAGCTGAGGCAGCAGGACAAAGAGGAGGCTCAAAGGAGAGAGCTTGACTGTGAAGGAATTTTGGTGGCCTCTGTATTTGTTTACCTCTAGGAAAATGTGTTTTGCAAATTTAATTACCATACAACATGATTGCTCTCGGTAAAATGTAAGACAAAAGCCATAGCAAGTTAAATGGATTTAAGGAAGTTTTGGACCTGGAATTACAATCTCATGGAAACAACTTTAAATTTTGAAAACACTTTGCTAGTCCTCTAATCACACCTCAGCAAGATGGGCTGAGAGGATAGTTAACATATCAATGTTTCCTCCTGATGGTAGCAGAGGACAATGGAGTGTTACTTTCTTTAAAATCTCACTTTATTTTTTAAAAATTTTTTTTAGATTTTATTTATTTATTTAGTTATTTATTTATTTAGAGAGAGAATGGCTGGGACACAGGCAGAGGGAGAGGGAGAAGCAGGCTCCACGCAGGGAACCTGACCTGGGACTCGATCCCAGATCTCCAGGATCACACCCCAGGCTGCAGGCGGCGCTAAACCGCTGTGCCACCAGGGCTGCCCTAAAATCTCACTTTAAAGATAAAATTGACAAAGGTGATCAACCTCTTTGTTTTCTGCTGAATCTCTGCTCTGTTTCTCAGATTTTAGTCTCTCTCTTTTTTTCCCATTTCATTTCAAATCAACAAAATAGAGAAGGAAGGAAAACCTCAAGGGGAATTACTAAAGAGTTGGCTTTCTCCTCTATCCTTTTGGAGACCATTTACTTTTAATGATTTCTCAATGCTACCTCCAGATTAAAAATGAAGGATAGATAATGCTAATGCTAGGTGTAGTCTGCAAAACTGTCTCAGATTGTCATGAAGATCTGTGTTAGCTCTTACAGTCCCACCATGGTTGATTAGTGAAAGGTACTATGTTTTTTTATCTCCACATGGTTTTTCCTTCTTCCACCTGGGAGTGAGTGTTGATCAGATTCTAGCCGGCCCCTCTGGACTACACATAGAGACCTAATATTTTAAACATAAATAGCATTACTAAATGGCGTTGTTAGGCAGAACATCTCATATTAGATAGGATACACTAGTTCATGAATAAGAATGCCGACATGATTTCATGGTCTAACTTCAACTAATGACTCAACAGCAAATAGGCTTTCTAAATATTTTTATTTTTAGGTAATCTCTATGTCCAAAGTGGGGCTCGAACTTACAACCCCTAGATCAAGAGTCTCATGCTCTACCAACTGAGCCAAAATATGCTTTCTGACTTACATAGTTGTGAGATAGTAACTTACCCAAGTGCTGCTTTGGGGGAAGTTAAATCAGCATCCTTGGTATTTTATCATTTGGCAGAAAAATTTAGTACACCAATAATAAATGCTCCAATTATCAAAGTAACAATCCTTTACTGAGCTGAGCTCATGGTATGTGAAAAGCACCATGAGTTCATATGTTGTTCTACAATATCCACAAAAACACTAGGAAGTAGAAACTATTCTTTCTCCATTTTTCCTTTTTTTTTTTTTTTTTTGAAGTAAGCTCTACATGCAACATGGGAATTGAACTCGTTCATGACCTGAGGATCAAGAGTCACATGCTCTATGGACTGAGCCTGCAAGGTGCTCTTCTTTCTCCATTTTACTAGTAGTGAAATTGAGCCATAGAATGGTTAGTAACTTGCTGGCCTTCTGAGGGCCAAGTGGCAAGGTCAGACTTAGAACCCAGAGCCAGCACTCCTAACCACGGTGTTAATCTGCAGTTTCCCATCATATAGATGGTTTACCAATACTCTCAACACAACCCAGGTTACCTATGCTGACATGTACAAAGAATGAATAAACATTAGGAATGTAAAGATAAATGCATCATGGGGCACCTGTCTGGCCCAGTCAGCAGAGCATGCAACTCTTTACACAGTGGGTATGGAGATTACTTAAAATATAAAAATGCTCTTGAGAGAAGATTACATTGCTCTTTTTTAGCAAAATCATAAATGGTGAGAGGCATTTTGGATAGATTTTCCACACAGAAGAAAATCAAATATGGCACCAATTCCTTCCAAGTCCTTTATAGTATGACCTGTTGTCTATCCTTACCTTCTACTCTTCCCCTTCTCTCTGTTTATTTATGTATTTATTTATTTTTAAAGATTTTATTCATTTATTCATGAGAGACACAGAGAGAGGCAGAGACACAGGCAGAGGGAGAAGCAGGCTCCATACACGTCCCACACTGTATATTTAATTGCTTATCAAACCCACATATTTTCTTCCCACAGAGTTTTTGCACCTGCTGTTCCCCTTTCTTGGAATTCTCTTCTTCAGATCTTCACATGGATAGATAGTGATGGGGTTTAGGACATGATATCCCAAAATATGGCACGCAGCATTTCAAATATTTTAAGCTGAAGGAGTTGGAGAAAATAACGGAAGCCAGAAGGTGATGTTGCCTCTTCTGATATCTCATGAAACAGATGCTTGTTTCCCTGCATGGAGCCTGCTTCTCCCTCTGCCTGTGTCTCTGCCTTTCTCTCTCTTTCTCTCTGTGTGTCTCTCATGAATAAATAAATAAAATCTTAAAAAAAAAAAAGAGCTTATGTGACAGGTGCCCTTCCTATACCTAGAGGAGAGGAGCATCCTTATCTTCTAGGTCAAAGGGACCCCAAGAAAAATCTGAACAACCAGGCCTTCCTAAAATTTCCCCCAGTCTAGTAAACTTAGCTCACACTCTGACCTATCACATATCTATGTGACTGGCCACTCGTCATCAAACATAGCATAGAGGTGCTCGTTCCTTTGGTTCTTCGTCTTCTTCAGAAGGCTCCTATGTCACGTAAATTTATCTTAAATAAATTTGTATGCTTTTCTCCTGTTACTGTCACTTCAATTTTCAGACCCAGCCAGGGGCATGAAGATGGTCAAGGAAAACTTTTTCTTCCTGTCCAATAGTTTTTCCTCGTGCTCTCTGCCATTCCCTCTGCTTATATGCTCTCATATTGTCCATTTTCTTATTTTTGGAACATTTAATGCAATCTTAAATTTATTTATTTATTCAATGATCTCTCCCCACTCAAATATAAACTCTTTGAAAGTAGGGATCTTGCTTCCCGTGCTCATTCTATCCATTGAGTTCAGAGGCATGTGTGGTACACAGTAGGCACTCCATACATCCTTGATGGATGGTGAATACGAAGACATTCTCTACAGGAGCCCTGCCACCTGCTGTTCTGTGTTTACCCTGTCAACCTTGAACACCCCAGCTTTTACCACAAGAACTCCAAAGTGCATTTTTATTGCAAAGAAGGGGGATTTGAAGACTTTGTTGTCACAGTAGGAAATCCCTTGACTTTTGCTTTAATACTGCATGATAATACCATAACCTGTGGTGATAAATACTAACCTTCATAAATCCCAAAAACCTAACTCCAAGTATCAAAATATAAAAGAGTTATGCATGTACTTTATTTATGCACTATATTTGCACTATATGCAAGGGAACTGATTTATTTTTAGTGATCATAAGGCAAAAAAGGGTTGAAAGATCAAGAACAAACAGAATGTAATTTAATATTTCTTTAAAAAAAACTGCCTTTTGAAGGCCTTTACCAACTTGGGAAATGATATTTTCCAGAATAAATTCCATCTTCCTTGTATATGCTTTTATGTTCTGACCACCCATGCTACAAACCATTTTTATGACTCCGCTGCATTAAGTTCAGGGGAAAATGTTTATATTGTAATGTAGTTGGCAAGTTATTTTTCTTACTCTGTGAAAGCATCTCATTTGCACGGCTTCCAGACTAAGGTAAGGGTTAAATCCCACAAGAGTACTCTGTCACTGTCCCCACAAAAGAGAGACTACAGCCCAGGGCTGACTCATTGTATGCTGAGGACCTGTCTGGTGGATCACCCAAAGCCAGACAAAGAGAGCCATTCACATAAACTGTCTACTACTCCCTTTGTGCCGGGAGAATCAGAAGAGAACCGCCAACTGACAAAGGTCACCTTTGGAGTAATGACTGGTAGATTTAATTTATGCAAATATATAAAGCTTCAGTCAAGGTACTTTGCAAATTAGATTAACAGTACTCATTTCAAGGATTTTTGTAAACCCTGAGAAACTAAAACACTTCGGTCTGAAGAAATCAATTACTTTGATTTAAAAACCATGTTCAGGCTTTCTGATGATAAACTACAGAAGGGGTATTGAAAAGGCCCTTTCATATTCATATTATTTGTATTTCCTCTGAAATCTTGGAAGTATTTTAATTTAATTATTATTTGATCATGTTGGCAAAGCTGCTGGTCTCATTCTCCGTGAAAGCTACCTGCACTAACAGAAAGGTCAAATATGGGATGTATGATGGGAACTTACCTTACTAGCTTGGCACCATGACTCCCCATCTCTGACATCTAAACCTCCTTCTTTATAATGTTGAATTTTGAGTCATTGATCTTTCTGCACCCACGTCAAATTTAATAAGGCTTAGTGTAGAAAGAGTGCAAAGAGGGAGAAAAAAATTCATAAATTTTTCATAAATTTACCACTTAGAGGCAGTTGCTATTAATATTTTCGAGCACTTCTTCCTTTTTAAAATTCCTTCCTTTTTATTTTTATTTTTTTTTAATTATTTATTTATTTATGATAGTCACAGAGAGAGAGAGAGAGAGAGAGAGAGAGAGAGAGAGAGAGAGGCAGAGACACAGGCAGAGGGAGAAGCAGGCTCCATGCACTGGGAGCCCGACGTGGGATTCGATCCCTGGTCTCCAGGATCGCGCCCTGGGCCAAAGGCAGGCGCTAAACTGCTGCGCCACCCAGGGATCCCAAAATTCCTTCCTTTTTAAAAAATATTTTCCCCTAGTCTTCTCATTCTCATGTTGCCCTGTATTCTAATGAAAATGTCACTCTACACACTTGGTGAATGACTTGTTCTATCATTCTGTATTTAAGAGAAATGGCATGAGAGAGCTACTCTGGCTAAATTTTGCCCTGAAATGAATATCCTTAAAAAAAAAACTGTGCCAGGTTTTTAGATGTTTTGCCTTTTTTTTTTTTCCCAGTGATAGCTCAGAATAATTTATAAATAAATAAATGACTTCTAGAGAAAATAAATATTCTGCTTTGAAATTGCATTATTTCAAATTAGGGTAATATGTGATTTATTTCTAGAGAGGGAAATAAAAATTTAGGAAGTATTCCCCCCAATTAATGAAGTTCCTTTTGGAAGGAATCCAGGTTTTAAGTAGAAACTATAGTAAAGGAATAAAGGAAGATCTGTTATTGGTCTCCAATTAATTAAAATTGGTGCTCAGATTCATAGAAGACCAGCATTCGACCTCTCACTAGTTTCCATTTGTGTATAAAAAATAAAGTTTTGAATTAAATCTTAAATCATGAAATGAGAACTTACCACCATATAGAATTTATTTAACTCCACATACATTACTCAATTGCAAAGCTATTTTTCTTTGTTCTGGCATAAGATAAATGTGTTTTTTTGTGTAGCTGGTGTTAGTTTCATTCTCATTAAAAGAGATCTTATCAGAATATATTAGGTATATAATGAGATGGGCAAGTCAAGAGTACTTAGTGTGTGCGGTGGGTCAGGCATGGGAGGGACAAATTCAGACCTGACTTGCTGCCTTCCTTTTCTGACCCTTACTCTTCCCAGCCATTTCTTCCTATGAATTTACATATGAAAAGTAATTTTCATATAAACTCAGAGAATTAAAAAATACATGTATCTATTTAAATATTTTATTCTTTTATTATTTTTTTTAGAAAGGGATTGAGAGAGGGGGAAGGAGAGAGGCAGAGAGAATCCTAAGCAGGCTCCATGCCCAGCATGGAGTCAGATACAGGGCTCCATCTCAAAACCTTGAGATCATGACCTGAAATCAAGAGTTTGATTCTTAATGGACTGAGCCACCAGGGTGCCCCTAAAGATTTTATTTTTACGCCCCATGGGGGGCTTGAACTCACAACGCCGAAATCAAGAGTTGCATGCTCTACCGATTGAGCCAGCCAGGCACACTATAAACTTAGAGAATTTTAAAATGATAGATAGATCTGTAGGTGCAAGAGGAGAAAGAGTCGATCTTATTTCCATTATTTTAAGGGACAGGGAGGAGGTATAGTCAAGACCTTTATGTATGTTTTCTTTTTTTAAATCTTCCCAATAGGGGAATTTATAGTTACATATAAGGCAAAGATCTAGCTTCCAGAGTGTTAATATTGATGTCCTTATTACTTTTTCAGTATTTTCATGGGTTGTACTTAAACATACAGATGTATAATTTCTCTTTTAAAAGCTCTTCTAGTAAGTGTAATCGAGCCAACAAACTTGGCTGTCGATACAAAATGGTCAACAAACATTAACTCTTAAAAACAGTGCAGCTTGGGACACCTGGGTGTCTTAGCAGTTAAGCATCTACCTTCAGTTCAGGGTGTGATCCCGGGGTCCTAGGATTGAGTCCCACATCGGGCTCCCTGCAGGGGGCCTGCTTCTCCCTCTGCCTGTGTCTCTGCTTCTCTCTGTGTATCTCTTATGAATAAATAAAATCTTTAAACAAACAAACAAAAAACAGTGCAACCAATAACTTTGTACTTCTCTTAACTACCTGAAATGCTTATTAAGGCCACCTGTACTATTTTGTACTCAGATGCTTTCAAGAAGTTCAACTTTTTTTTTTTTTTTTTTTGGAAGCTCACCTCTTAAATACATCAGCATTTCATGTCTTAGAATAATCCTAATAAATTTAGCCACTCATGGTTATATTTCCAAACCTTTTCCATTTGATTAAATTAGCTTTAACTATCAACCTAGAAATACCTCATTATCCCAACTGTAGTGGTCAAACTAAAGAATAAAAAATGAAACCACCTTTGCTTCTGCAGACAGTGAGATCTCACTGCCTTCACCATCAGCTCAAATTTCCCTTGTCAAGAAGACTTTGATGCCCCATAAATATTCCTTAAAAAGCATTACTTTGGAATGTGGAGAGTAATATATATTATGATTTTCTCCCAAGAGGCTGATGTCTGTGTGTCTTTTATTCTTTCTCTGTGTTCCTTATTTTGACTCTTGTTACTAAATCAAGGAACATTAAGCCATTTGCAGTGAGAAAGCAGATATTTATTTTCCGGTGGAAATCAAGTCAGGAGAGAACACTAAAGAGTCTTCACCTCCTTCAAGCCGTCTGTGGCGGCCATCCCAGGTGGACATCACAATCCCCTGATGCGAGGCTGGGCATGCATGTAGTGTAGAAAATGTCATTTATTATTGAAGTCATTTATAGTGACATTCCGTGTATGTGGCAGGAAACATCATTCACATGAAAATGCAATGTGCCTTTTCAAAAGGTAACATCTTCTCATGTATTTTTCTATTTCCCTCTCTTTTCATTTATTTTAATTTTTAGAGATCCCATTTTATTTCAATAAAGACAGTATAACATAATAGTAAGAGCCCCATAATCTGCCATCAGAAAGAATAGGTGCAAATTTTAGCTCATGTTAACTGTGTGTTTTCAATTACTTCTCTGGGGGCACCGGTGTGGCTCAGGCGGTTAAGCGCCTGCCTTTGGTTCAGGTCGGATTGGGATGAGCCCACATCAGGATCCCTGCTCAGCAGGAAGTCTGCTTCTTCCTCTCCCTCTGCCCCTCCTCACATTTGTGCTGCCTCTCTCTGTATTTTATTCTCTCTCAAATAAACAAACAAAATCTTTTAAAAAACAATTTCTTTTCTGTAAATAGAGACAAGGCCTAGTAAGAAAGGAGTGAAGAATAAATGAGAATGCAGGTCAAGTGAACAGGGCGTAGCAAACAAAATGCCAGCTTTTATTACTATTTTTTTCTTTTTAAGCAATCACTACACCCAACTTGGAGCTTGAACTCCCTACCCTAAGATCAAGAGTTGCATGCTCTGCTGACAGAGCCAGCCAGGAGCCCTGGATTTCACTATTAATGGCAATTCTACTACACTTTATATTACATTCAGGTTGAGACAACAATGGCTTTATAAATGACATCCGGCATGAGCACAATCTTGCAAAATGTCTAGTTCTTTCATTCTTGATAACATGACCCATTAATCCCTTTTCCTGCTCCCTAATCCATCTGTTAGGGTAGTAGGAGGTATGTGATGAGAAATAGAAGATTTTTTTTGAATTGTTTTTACTAATCTCTACACCCAATATGTGGCTTGAACTCATGACCCCAAGATCAAGAGTCACATACTCTTCTGAGTGAGCCAGCAAGGTATCCCAGGAACAGGAAATTTTAATTTTTTTTAATTTAATAAATTTATTTTTTATTTTAAGTACACTCCACACCCAATGTGGGGCTCGAACTCACAACCCTGAGATTGAGAGTCACATGCTCTACCGCCTGAGCCAGCCAGGCACCCCTAGATTTAGAAAAAAATTTTTTACTAAGTAATCTCAGTACCTAACAGGGAGCTCAAATTTATGACCCCAAGATCAAGAGTCACATGCTCTACTGACTGAGCTGGCCAGATCTGACAGTAAGAAGAAGAAACAAAACAGAGTCTTTTAGGGATGACTGGGTGGGTCAGTGGTTGGGCGGCTGCCTTTGGCACAGGTCATGGTCCCGGGATCCAGAATCGAGTCCCGCATCGGGCTCCCTGCGAGTAGCCTCCTTCTCCCTCTGCCTATGTCTCTGCCTCTCTGTGTCTCTCATTAATAAATAAATAAAATCTTAAAAAAACAGTCTTTTTTATCTGGTGGCAGGAGCTAGGGGGACATGGTATCACAAGCTGAATTGAGTAACAATAAACTTTTCATGATTTCTGGGATCCTTAACCACCTTGGTACTTTGCAAATGTCTAAGAATTATGTTCCAGAGCTCTGAGTTCAGTCCTCTACCAGAAATGCACACTATTGGTGTATAGAGATGTCTCTTTGAAACTCAGCAGTGTGGTTTCCATTTCCTTCCCCTGCTAGTTGAAACCCAGAGTCTCTTGCTCCTTCTCATGTGATGGATGTTGTTGTCTGTGTTTTCCATTTATCAGGGATTTGACTCAACCACAGCAAGTAGCATATCAGTCCCTACATTTCCGGCAGCGCCCCCCCCCCCAGCCGGCTCCCCCTAGTGGTAGATGGTGCCCAGGGGCGAAATACCCAGAGCCTTGCCTCGCTGGAAAAGAATTAAAAGTACTGATCTAGGAGGCACCACTGCACAAGACCAGATTGACCACCAGAAAATCTTGGTGATGTATCACTTCTGTCACTTACCTCCTGAGACAGACCTAGCATCATTCTCCTTCAGGACTTCAGAAAGTCATGAAATCTCTTTGAGCCCCACTTTTGTTACCTGTTAAATGGGTATATTATTTAGCTGTATTCTCTTGAAGGTATCATTTGGAAATACTGAAAATTGAGAA